GACTTTTCAACCTTACATACATTCTGCTGGTGAGCTAACTCAAAATGGGTTGTTGTTACTAGGTTGTAGACTGGTAATACCAAAGTCACTCAGAGAGGACATACTGAACAAACTTCACGAGAGCCACTTAGGCATAACAAAGTGCAGAGAACGAGCTAAACAATCTGTGTGGTGGCCAGGTATTAGCAAAGAACTGACAAAACTCATTGAAAACTGTGACACGTGCACGTGAGAGAGTACACAACAAAGAGACATTGTTACATACAAACCTTCCTTCTAGACCATGGTGTACAGTGGGTGCAGATCTGTTCCAGTTTGGTAAGAACCAATATTTGGTTATTGTAGACTACTTTTCAAGGTTCTTTGAAGTAGCAAAACTGTCATCTACCACTTCTGATGCTGTTATTGACCATTGTAAATCTATTTTTGCTATGCATGGCATTCCAGATATTGTGCGTTCAGATAATGGTCCACAATTTGCATCTGAAGCATTTCAAAAGTTTGCACAAACATGGTGTTTTACACATATTACGTCTAGTCCCCACTTCCCACAAAGTAACGGGAGGCAGAGCGTGCAGTCAGGACTGTCAAAAACTTACTGAAAAAGTCTAGAGATCCCTACCTAGCTTTAATGGCTTACCGTGCTTCACCCATGGCCAATGGGTATAGTCCTACTGAACTGCTCATGGGTCAAAAGATACGTACTACCGTTCCTGTCATTCCTTCTCAGCTCCATCCAAACGGAGCTGATTTGGGAAAGGTGAAAAGTAGAGAACAGACTTACAGGACAAAACAGTCACAGAACTATAACAAAAGGCATAGAGCTCATGACATGCCCAGTCTGCAGCCAGGCAAGCATGTGTGGGTCAAGGCCCTGCAGCAGAGACGAACTGTGGTGTCCACTGCAGGAACGCCCAGGTCCTACGTTGTGGAAACACCAAGTGGCCATCTCCGGAGAAACAGGTATCATCTGTCCCGCACACCGGTGGCTCCACAGCTGCCCATCGCAGTTCCAGATGCATCTTCAGATAAATGCCATACAGAGACTCAACCACATTCACCTGAGATGCCCCCTGACTTCACCACAGCCAGAGAGACGCTATCCGGACCGGGTCAGAAAAACACCAGAGTATTTGAAAGACTATATGACTTGAGTTAAAGAGGGTTGGGGCAGAATAATCCCCATTTTCAGACCGAGGGTTTACCCCATTCCCTTTAAAAAAAAAAAAAAAAGAATAAATTTTCGGGCCTATAGTGTTTTGTTGAATATAGGTTTATGTTGTTATAAGAATCTGTGGTTCAAAAACAAACAAAAAAAACTGTACAGATACAGGACAACAGTAAAAAAAAAAAAAAAAAGAGTATGGTGTTGCTTTCATGCCATTAATATTTCTGAATATAAAATTAAATGTTCCTGATGAGAAAGGGGGATGTAGTAATATGTGGGTAGGAACTTATGTTGTGTGTTATATGTTCCTGGGGGGAGGACAATAAAGATATAGAATATGGTTCCGTCTTGACTGGAACACGGTCTGTCTCGTCTTTATTATGAACCCTTAAATCTAGAACACTCTGCACTGGTTTTGTACGTGTGCCTTGAACTAGACTGGAGTGTGTTTTTACCGCAGCTAGGCACGGGATGAGAGCGGGGACTTTTTTTTGGCTTCATAATAAACATCCCCTGTGAAAAAGACAACCTAACCTAACCTGTGGCCATACCGGCTTGTAAAAGCCTGATCCCGTCAGATCTCAGAAGCTAAGTAATGCCGGGCCTGGTTAGTACTTGGATTGGAGACCACTGCAAAAATCAGGTACCACAGTGGGGCACCAGTGGGAATAACTGTCATTGTGTCTTTAGGCAAGACACTTCACCCATATCGCCAAGTATGAAAGTGGTGTGTGCGTGAGTGATGGTGGTCGGAGGGACCTTCTGTCAGTCTGCCCCAGGGCAGCTGTGGCTACAATAGTAGCTTACCATCACCAGGTATAGAGTGAATGAATAATGCTAATGCAAAAATGTCTGTGAAAAGTGCTATATAAATAAAGACTTACTAAATTGTTTCTGTGCCTAAAGATCTGCAACATAAACTGTGCGAAGAGCTGGCTAGAACCCAAACAACACACAGAATATTTGGGGTTGAGCAAACTCAGTTTTACATCGTGTGACTCTCACAGCTGAGACAATGCTTTCTCTCGCCCGGTGCCTAGTATTGTTCCATTGGGGCGTGACTGTCACATTTAGGAAGTGCCTTCACCTTGCTAGTCTTATGGCATCAGTAATCTCTCATCCAGTTGGGTCCATTAATGATGAGAGATTTTCAGCGTTACCTCACAGCACTACACTTGTGCTACTTCCATTCGCTCTTTGTACAACTGTAAGTGGTGTATGTTTAAAGATTTTTGTGAGGCCAGACAGGTTATTTCTTTCCAACGTTCTGTGCTTTCTACAGCAGTTGGTGAACAAGCATAAAGCTTTCTCTCCAAATCAAGGTCTATTTGGCTGCTATTTCAGCCTGCCATGTGGGTTTTAGAGACAAAACAGTGGGTCAACACCCCCTGGTCTGTCTTTTTATGAAGGGCACACGTCAAAAACGTCCAGTGGTTAAACCCCTGGTTCCCCTGTGGGATCTTTCGATTGTGCTGGATGCCCTTTGTCTCCATCTTATTGAACCCTTGGAGGCTGTCTTTGAAACATGCAACTTTGAAGGTAATTTTACTTCTTGCATTAACATCTGCAAAGCGCGTAAGTGAACTGCAAGCCTTATCGGTTAGCCCCACATGTTTGTAGTTTGCCCCCGGGCTGTCCAAGGTGCGCTTGAGCCCCAACCCAGCCTTTGTGCCCAAGGTGGATACGGCCTATAGTTGTTTTACTTTAGAACTTGCGGCCTTTCATCTTCCGCCATTCTCTTCGGAGGAGGAGGGTCGACTTCATACTCTGTGCCCTGTCCAGGCATTGCGAGTGTATGTTGACAGAACAGCTGGCCTTAGAAAGGCAGATCAGTTGTTAATGTCATGGACTTTTCCTCATTTGGGCAAGCCAGTGTCCAATCAGAGGCTTTCTCACTGGATTGTTGAAGCCATTTTCTTGGCTTACACTTGCAGGGGCATGGTACCTCTGCAGGGGTTGAGGGCACAGTCCACCAGGGGTGTAGCTACTTCATGGACCCTGTTCAGAGGTGTGTTCGTACAGGATATATGCGCTGTGGCCAGCGCTTCTTTGTTTGCAATCCGGGAGTGGGCCATATCTCCCACAGTGAAACACCGAACAACATTAGAAAAGGAACTCAAGGTTACTTAACGTAACACCGGTTCTTTCATAACAGAGTGAGGTATTTCACCTTCATTGCCCTCCTTGCAAAGCAGTAAGAAATCGCTTCAGAATGATTACATTAGGAGGAGGCTGACTGTATCTGGAGAGGTGGCGGAGTCTGAGATACAGTCATCCTGTCTGTCAAAGACAGATGTGGCGCCATTGGAGCTTCAGTGGATGGTTACGCCTGAGGTGATTTCCATAGTGAAACACCTCACTGTTATCAAAGAACCAGGGTTACGTTACGTAACCTTGACTTATGTTCATTTATATATACAGTCTATGGGTTGCTATGATACTCGTGGTCAGACTTCAAATATGGAGCCAAGCTCAAGATTCGCTCCTGTAACCATTAGCATTGTAAGCTTTATTTGAGTGGAGTTGAAGGCTTTGGGTAATGTCACACTCGCTTAGTCCACTTTTTATACAGTCTGTGGTGTACAGACAGTACAGGAGGGGGCTCAGCACACAACCCTGTGGGAAGCTGGTGCTTAGCGTGCAAATGGGGGAAAGGTGGGGGCCGAGTCTCACACTCTGGTGTAAGTTGGTTAAAATGTCTTAAATCCAAGCACATGTGAGAAGAGGGAGGCCAAGAGTGTCCAGTTTACTAATATTTGCTGCTAAACAGTATAAAAAGTCTCTTTATCAATTAATTTGATAGTGACTAAAATTTGGCGTGTGTCAAAATCAAGGCTTTTTATTATTTATCAATCTATCATGTTGAAAGTCATAGCGATGAACCATTTAAAACAAAAGTGCTCAAAATATTGCAGAGACCCATGAATATGCTAATTGTTGAAATAAAACAAAACGAAGAATGAATGAATAGTGAAAAGTGAAACATCTAAAGGTGAATAACCATGCACATTTACTGATGCCACCTTCTCAACAAGCAGCTGACTCCGCTAGGCGATGTTACAGGTGATCTATGCATTGCATATTTTTGATGCTTTCCATATTTTTAAAGGTCCTATATTACACAAAATTTACAATGTTACCTCATTGTAAAGGTCAAGTTAGTTCTTATATACATTAACATACAGTCCATGGCGTTTAATAGTAAGGTTACGCTTTTGTTTTGGTGACTTCCTTGTGTGAGGGGAAGTTATGGTAAAAACATTAGCTTGGTATACAGAAAAGACGCAAAGTAAACACAGCGACGTTTACGGTGAAAAACAAAAAAACAAGTTATATAAAAACCTAAAGATAGCAACAGTCGACAGGGGAACAATGTTTGTTTTATTTGTGAATGTATATTTGAGCTTCTTGTAATTTGTATTGAATTAATGTTAAAATACGGATATCGGTTAAACTGTGTAATGAGCTAGTGATACGGTGATCATATGGTAATTTCTGTTATTTTGTTCTTGTCTAGCTCTTATGTTGGTTCTGTGACACGGCAAGGTAAAGATTAAAAGTCATTTAACTATCAGTTCTGGCCTTCTCAATTCGACTGGGTGCTACACTCATCAAAACATACCTGGAGTTGAGTTTTGTTTCATTCGCATGTTTAAGTAATTCTTTATTATCAGTCTACATCGCCAAAGCTAAAAATACTTTGTTCCACCTTGTGATGTAAAATAGATTAAAAACAAACTCAATCAATGCCCAAATGCCTATAATGAATGATCCTAGATGGCATAGCATCTGAGAAACTATCGACTTCTCCAGTAGGCGGCAGTAGTGCGTTATACTTAAGTCCTATCTACTTGCGCAGACAGCAAATGAAGACTGCCATTCATTCGATCAGATCAACTGATCTAACTACATACTTAAAACATTTGATCTATGCATATGTTTTAGCCGCCCTATTTCTCCCTTTAATGCAGTATAATTAGAAATAGTAAGTTTTATAGTAAATAGTCTAGACGATCATATCAACGCTACTTTAAAGTAATCTGGTTTGTTTTTAGCATACTTTTGGCTAGCGAACAAAGTGCTGTTAGCTTCATTCAGTTATCAGCCTATCTGCTTGTTTTGAGGTAAGTCCATGTAACATTTAATGATTCTTATTATTTAAATTATTATCTAAGAATTAAATGTTACTTGCTCGATGAAATTGGTGCTCCACTAGACTCGTTTGTTGTACCTCAAGCTGTAGCTTACTAACCAATAATGTTGCCAAGATTGCGTGGATTTAAAGTACTCTTATTTTCTTTTTATGTGTGGAAACAGTGAAGATGGAGGCTCCGCCGGTGACTGTGATGCCTGTTACTGGTGGCACAATTAACATGATGGAATATCTACTACAAGGTGAGCTATCTTTGTCATGAACATAGCACAAGTCCAATAAGTCAAATCAAACAAGTCAGTCTTGTAAATAAACTGACTACATTCCATATGTATTTATAGTTTACTTTTTAGGTTAAATTCAGCTGTGTAGCTGCTATAGAGAAGTAGACAATGTCATTATAAGGGCTGCAACTAGCAATTATATTTTTCGCTTGTCAAACAATTATTTCTGTTATACATAGATATTACTGTAATGGTAATGATATGTTTAAATGTAGACTAGTCTAGACTTATTCTGATTAACCATTACCCTAGCCTGTAATTTTTTTCAAAGAAAATTACAAAAACTGTCTTGTGTTCTCAGGGAGCGTGCTGGACCAGGCATTGGACAGCCTCCTGCATCGCCTCAGAGGTTTGTGTGACAATATGGAACCTGAGACCTTCACAGATCATGAATTGGTTTATCTTCTGAAAGGCCAACAAGGCAACCCTTTCATTCTGCGTGCTCGCCGCAGTCTGTCCCATCCCACCGCCCCGTGGCACCTCCGCTACCTAGGGCAGCCTGAAGTGGGAGATAAGAGCCGCCATGCTCTGGTTCGCAACTGTGTGGATGTGGCTACTTCACACAGCCTACCCGAGTTTCTTAATGAGATGGGCTTCCGCATGGACCATGAGTTTGTAGCCAATGGTCACATATTTAGGAAAGGTGCTATGAAAGTGGTTGTGACCAAGTTGTCTCGCATTCTGGTACCTGGGAACACAGAGAACATAGAGCGGCTCTCATTGTCATATTTAGTGGAACTGAGTGTTCTAGCTCCAGCTGGACAGGACACTGTATCTGAGGATATGCGCAGTTTTGCTGAACAACTCAAACCCCTGGTGCACCTTGAGAAAATTGATCCAAGCAAACAGAGACACTAAGTGACGTGAGATGAACCTTTGAACTTTTTGGTTTGTATTTTGTTTCATAAAATAATTAAAAACGTTAACCAAATAGTTATCTTTTAATTTGTTTTTGTTTATTTTATTGGTCAAATCAATACAATTTGTTAATAACAACTCAGGGATAGAAATAATAGCTAACCCCAAAAGGCAAATACATAAATAAATATATTAAAAATACCTTTATATTAGCATACCTTTATAATTAAAATGATGCATGTTTCTCTTGTGTAAATAAATACAACTGATAAAATAAAATAAAGTAACTTAGTAAATTACTTGGGTCGTGGCGAACCAGCTATATTTTTGTATTTGTTTCTATATAACATATTTATATTTATTAAAATTAATTTCCATAAGCAGCTTGCTTATTGCATTTTCATGTACATGTTATTTGCAAAGTATGGTAGAAAACATTGCTTGTGTTGATTTTAGAGAAGTATAATTAACATCAAGTTGGAAGTTTTTCTCTCTACCACTAGGTGTCCCTCTTGCTCTTCAGACCAATGTTTGGTACCAGAGAAGCTACCTCAGATCATCTCCAGGAGCTGTGGTTGCTATGGAAATAATTAGCTGTGAGATCTGCACATCTTTCCCCCCACTCTAATTAGCTTTCTCAATTGCTTAATGATACATAGACCTGTGAAAGCCTTTCTTTCTTCCCCTCAACAAAAGCATTGATTTTCCCTCTCTTCCCCTCTCATTCCTACTGTTAACCCATTAGTGCCTCTTTCATGGGAACTTGAGCTAGGACTATTACACATGAAAGCACTCCGGCGGCTGAAGGTTTTTCACTCCCCAATCTCTACTCCAAATTGGGCTTTATGCTGTAGTGTAAACATTAAGGCCAGTTCACCGCTGAGGTAACTAATGCACATCCTGTCAGTTATGGTGATAACATGAGCAATAAGACATGAGTGCTTCTAATAATACCACTACAGGAGATGCATTTGCAGTGGCTGCAATGTAGAGCGACTGCAGTGTGCATGTTGAAGGGCACAGCCTGAGGCCTTTGTGCCTGTCTCTTCAAATTGACCTACCTGCATGTCAAGGTTCATCGGACAGGCCTGCTCAAGTAGAAAGGTGATATGACTTTGCTTGCATCATGCTCCTCTTGCACCGCAGGTCCACTCTCAAAGTTTGCTATGATTATACTCTTAGGTTTGTCTGCTTCAGTGGATGTTTTTCTATAATATTTAAATTGATGATAGAGTTCTCCTCTTTATCTTTAACTGTTCGTCAATAAGACTGGATTATCTGATGGAGACAGTTTTATGTTCCAACTACTAGAAGCAGACTGGCCCTCAGGACTAAAGCATGATGTTTCAGCTCTGAGTGAATTATGTATTAAAGAGGCAGATGCCTCCTTGCCCAAGGCTTTACATGTCCAGCATGGATACACTACAGTTTGCTGGCTTTCTTCCACTTAAACTTGTGTTTAGCACTGTGCTCTTTGGTGATGAGTTGGACTCCCACAGCACCTCTACTTCGCATTGCCTGGAGAACAGAGGCATCGCTAGGCTAATCAGTGTCTTGGCATCCGGCCCACATGCCTATTGTGGTTGAAGCCAACCAATGACTTGCACAAGTGAAAGATATAACTGCCAGAGGCAATTTGAAATGTTGCATAGTTGATCTGGAAAATAGACTAAAGCAATGTCTTTAAACTGCACACACAACTATTGCTCTGTGAGAGTGTTTCATTTGCTGTATCTTAAATATGAAAGAATGAGGGATGAATCTTTTTTAGCTTTTTATTTACTCATCATAAAATGTGAAACAAGTAAATATAAGAGCATCATATTATTTGAACCATTAGACATATTTATTACTCACACTGCTTCTGGTTTGGGGAAGAGCACCCTGACTTACCTGTCTCACTGATCTACCATGTCCAGATGCTTTGGTTCTTCACCTGTTAAATATAATTAATTTGCTAAAGCAGAAAGTGTTTGTTAATCATATTTTGTTGGCCCTCTGAAACGAAAACCAAATCTATTACCTGCATTGGCCTATATTATCCATCCAAAAGAAGAAACTTAATTAAAAGTCTTGGCAGCATTGTCATTGTTTCTTGTGAACATACTGCTCATAGCTGGCAGTGCCATTGCCAAGATGCTGCAAAGCTGGCTCCCACTTGTGGTCGGAAGTCTTTAAGTCATGCCTACGTTGGGCCAGTGCCATAAAGGGGTGAACTGCAATGTCGCCTCCTCAGTTCCAAAAGGTTGGATGTGTGCCCTCTCCTTCCAGTGTCATTGGAGTCCATATGCTCGTTAAGAGTGTGGGCTGTTTGCTCAGAGGGGAGGACAACCAGGGGAGGTGTTTTCCCAGACAGCTATCGATCTCCCAAGGGTGCTCTTGTGGCTTCTCTGGCTTCCTCCCATTCTAATTCCACTGGGCAGAAAGGGTTGCTGGGAGAATATGTGCAACATCATGAGGCTTCTGTGGGATGTCTGAATTGGCGATGTCAGTGAAGTGAGGAATTGTCCTGTAGGGTTGGAGCTCAATAATGTGAATGAAATTCCCTAATGCTGTTGACAAAGCTGTGGCTTGTTGCTGCTCTGGTGTGTTCTTATGTCTTATGTGTGGCAGGTTGAGGTGATTACAGCTGAGCAGAACATGCTGTTCCAGGATCAGCCACACAAGAGCCTGCAGCCAGCCACGCTGCCTCTGGAATGTCTGGTATTGGGACAGAGAGGAGTCAGCCTCCAAGGGACGCAAAACATACATATTCTTTTAACTAGAGCACCAAACTGGCCGCCCTCTCATTTCTGCTGACACATTTTCTATTCTTATCAAATTCAGACTTTAGTAAATCAGCAGTGTTTGGTGGTTTGACTTTCCTGTTGATTAAAACACAAATCCTTAGTTTGTTTGTCTATTTATTTAATTATGTGGCTCATATATAATTTTATCAGTGGTTGAGTGGCTGGCACACTCTTCTCATGGCAAAAAGGTCTCAGGTTTAACTCCCGCACACCAGGGGCCCTTTCTGTGCAGTTTACTTTGTTCCCCTTTGTATAGGTTTCCAATAGCACAACAATTTCAGTTGTCAACATCCGCAATAGAAAAATCCTATTGTTAATCCCTTTTCATTTTTGTTTGTATGTATGCTTATGTTGATCAAATTATCTGCCTCCTTACTTTGTTCTCCTCAATTGTGATTGAACATGTAATACCAAATTTAATTGTTGTATAAATATGTTGTCATATCCAGTAAAAGAAGTATAAATGGTCATTTTGCTGATGGTAATTATCTGGCTACTCCAGGTGTATTGTGGAATGAAAAGGTAAAAACTTTTCATGCTGTTTTGCTACAGTATACTTGAAAAATCACAGAGAGATGCATGGCATTTTAACCAGCATGAAGTCATTCTGTGACACATCATGACACATCTCCTGCCATTTAAAACCATGCTATTTTCAACACATTTCACAACTTCTGTCTTGTCTGAGTACACACATTGTGGCCGTGTTATGAAACTTTTAAGTACAGTTTGAGTCAATGAACAGTTTGCCCAAAGAGGGTGGGTTCTGTTTCAACCGCAACACCGCACCGCACGAAAGGCTCTGTGCAATAAAACAGTGGCTGTATCTGAAATGTAGCCTATTGCAGCCGAAAGCAGTCACATACTTTTTTAAAGTTTAAGTTTTCCGGAAGAATACGCCTGTGGCAGAGGGATAATTCACCATTCTGTTGAATATTTTGACTGACAATACAGTGGATCGCAATGATTACCCGTGGGGGTTGGAAATGCTGTCATTTTACGCGTCAGAAATGGTAGCTATATGTGCGTAAAACAATGGACAGTTTTAAAGTCCATGAATAAATAATGGTATTCCCACATCTACCACGTCTATAGGGTACAGAGTAATGATATAGATTGTTGTTTTAAATTGAGTTGGTAGTTTGACTTAAATCACATCCGAAAGCTTTGGTTGAGCGAATAGGAGAGGAGCACCTGTGACGCGCGCCCGCCTAGTTGTGAGATTTTAAGGGGAGGAGGGGCGGAATCCCCTGGTCACTAAGGCAGGTTGTTCTGACCACTGCCTGTGTCAGAAGCCAACTAGAGCTATCTATAGGAGATGACCATGCGCAGACGTCCATCCCATGCGCTCAATCGTGTGTCTGGCTTGGACCCAAAATGATTTTTTTTTTTAATTCTGACCTCTGAAAAGCCCCAGCTCCCATCACTCCGCTTGGATTAAAATCTCGGGTTACCTAATCTCTCGTAATCTGAACTAAATCTGTCTAATCGGCATAGAAAATTACACTCACTGGGAGTAATCATCAAGAGGTGAAATAACCTCCCGCGCGCTGTGAGGTCTCCCCGAGGGCAACTATTACGCGCAGCGGTCACAGAGCCACACGACAGCATTTGGCACTGCTCTGAGGAGCTTTCACTTTGGAGTGGACTGCACTTAACGAGGGCGTCTGGCACTAAGAAAGACGCATTTCTTTATTCCAGAAATTTGGGGGAAGGCTGGTCCGGGTGCGTGAGAGAAATGGGGAGAGGCAGACAGGGGGAGAGAGCGGGGAGGGAAAAGGAGGAGGGGGGAGTTTGGGATTTCGCTGTAATCGTGTTCAGAGAGTATTGATTTCGTGAGCGCACTCCAATTGGCAGCATCTTCACTACAGCGCCGGCGCGTCATCCTCGCTTCACATCGACGGAACGAGTTGTAAGCAAATGAGAACATGTGTGGGATCTGAGAGTGGGGAGAGACGCGAGAGGCTAGAGGAGGTGTGATAAAAGCCTATTTTATCAACCTGACAAGTGGATACGAGCTCTCACTGTTGGACTGTATATGTGTGCGTTTTGGAGACTGGGGAATTTATCGATTCGTCACATGCGCACGCCTCTTCATTATAATTGCAGACAGTTGGGTGCTGTTCAGGCTGAATGGACTTGAATGTGGCGCTGCCAGCTTAATCCGTGCAGACTGGAAGATTTAATAATTCACGGTAATCACGCATTATCGCCTCAGTGGATGCTCTCCACACTGCCCGGCTTGTGATTTTCTCCTCTTTCCCCCTTCCATCGCTGTTGCACC